CAGTATGAATGAAAGAATAAATAAATAAATCCTAAAAACAAGACACATCAAGGGGGGGAGAACAGATTCATTTTACCCCTGTGTCCCCTTCCTCAAAGCAGCACAGACCAGTACCCCGGAAGAAACCCTCAACCTGCAAACACCCGCGAGAGAAAGTGAGAGCCTAAAGAAGGAGCATCCATCTTCCCCAGCTGTGAAGGACGCTGTCCGGGAAGCTCTTGTCTTGCTGTTGCCAAGAGGCCCACTTCTCTCTCACTCCACTCAGAATGCTGATGTGATCACCATGAGCACCTGGGAAAGGATGACAGCAGGAAAGAGGGGAAGGGATTCACTACAGCAAGCAAGTGGAGCGCAAAAATGTGTCCATTGCTTCTACTTGCTGCTATTTGGACTCCAGAAAACCAGCCCCTGGGCCACTTAGAATGCTTGTCTATGGCCTCTCATCTGGCCCATGGGCACTGCTAATTCATCACATGCCTCAAACCCTTTGCCATGTCCTGCCCTCAGAGACAACTTTTTGGGCATGTGCAGATTTCCAGCCTGACTGTGAGGCTGGGAGAAGACACAGACATGAGAATTTCAGAAACAGGTGGCTCCCATCTCATAGGCTTGGTCTTATGAGATCAAGAGAGGGCATACAATCTTAAGAATTCCCTCACAGAAGGAAACAAGAGAATGTTCAACAACAGAAAACAAACTCTGGGAGAGTTTCAGAATCCCAAGCCAGGCTGAAGGATGGACTTTTATCTCTCCTGAAGCCAGTCAGCAAAATCTATAGAAGGTGAACACTTCTTGAAAAGTGAAGAGATCAATGCAAGTCTTGACCGAACATGGAAAAATCAAGGGAAAATGACACCCACAATGGGAAACTATACCCAGTATCCATTTCAGCAGGAATGATGTGAAATGAGAAATCAACAATAGGAATAAAACCTTGAAAATCCATGAGTATGTGGAAATTAACTAACACATTCTTGAATAACCATTGTATTCTAAAAATAAATGGAAAGAAATTAAAAAATACATTGAGACAGACAAAATAGAAATGTAATATACCAAACTCTATGAGATGTAGCAAAAGAAATTCTAAGAGGCAAGTTTATAGCAATGAATAGCAAGGAATATAAAGAATGAAAAAAGAATTCAATTAAAACTAAGCCCAAAGTTTTCACAAAGAGGGAAATAACAAAATCAGAGCAGAATGAACTGAAATAAAGCATAGAAAAACAACAGAAAATCAACAAGTATGGGATGATTTTAAAAGCTAAATGAAAACTGACAAACTTTCATCTATATTAAGAAAAAAGAGAAGATTCAAATAAATAAAATCAGAAATAGAAAAGGAGACATTACAACTGATACCACAGAAATACAAAGAATCATAAGAAACAACTATGAGCAATTATATACTAACATATTGGATAACCTGGAGGAGATGGATGAATCCCATAAATATATACATAAAAGACTGAAAAATGAAGAAATAGAAAATCTGAACAAACTAACAATGAATAAGGATGTTTATCATGAATAAAAAATCTTCAAATAAATAGAATTATAGAACCACATGGCAGGCAAATTCAGTAAATATTTAATGAAGAATAAATACTAATTCTTTCATGAAAGTTTAAAACATAGAATTAGTTTGTCCAGCTCTAACAAAAATAAATAAATAAAGCTGGGACATTGTGAAACAGGAATTTTATGCACATTGCATGATAACAAGAACTATTCGTAAAGAACTCCAGAACCACAACCTTGGAGAGAAGATACTTCTGAGAGGATGTCTGCCCACCACTTCCTGTTCAGCTTCCTACTGGCACCACTCTTGTTATGAATCCTTGCAGCCAAAGATCATTTTCAAAATATCTTTTGATACTCTTCATTTAACTTTTGAAAATGTTCCCTAACTTAACCTCCTTGAACATACTCATAGTATACTATGACACACATTCCAATTACACTGCTCCAATATTTCCAAATAAATGTCATTATTCTTTAGAAAATCTTTCTCTGATTGTTATTTAGGTTGATGCTTTAAAAACTTTTCCAAAACATAAAGAGGAATACTTCCAAAAGCATGAGTCCAAAATTACCCTGAAAAGAAAACCATACAAAGACACAAGAAAAGAAAATTATAGGTTAAATCCCTGATGAAGACAGGTGTAAAAATACTTTCAAAATACTGGCAAACCTCACTCAACAGCAAACTGCAGAGATCGCCACCCACAATCAAGTGCAGATTTACCTGTGGATGCCGTGATCGTTCTACAGAAAAAAGAATATAAATCATAGGACCATTTAATAGAAGCAGAAAAATGTTTTGACAAAATTAAACATCATTTAATGATTCAAAAGTCACAACAAATTAGTGTAGAAAGAATGTGTCTCAACACAATAAGGCCATACATATCAAGCCTACACCTGACACCATACTCAGTAACAAAATGTTTAAAATTTTTCCTTTTGGATCAGGAATGAGACAAATATACCTGCTCTTGCCCTTTTACTCAAAGTAGTACTAGACATTCTAGCCAGAGAATTTAGACAAAAGAAAAATTAAAAGGCATCCAAATTAGAAAGGAAGATGTTAAATCATCTCTTTTGTTCAGATAACAGGATCATATATAGAGCAAATTCTCAAGACTTGACAAAAAAGCATTAGAACTAACACACAAATTCAGATATAAAAATCAGTTGTATCTCTGTGCACTGGCAATGAACTATTCAAGGAAGACATTAAGAAAAAAATTCTATTTACAATAACATCAAAAAGAATAAAACAGGAGTGACTTCCAGGTAAGATGATGGACTAGAAGTAACATGACTTTCCAAGTGAGCAGAGTTAGAGTTAGAAAGAGTAACTACATTTCAAGGAGAGAAAGATATGAAGAGCTCTTTATACCAAGAAAGAGGTGATGGAAAAGCAGAAAGGCAACATAGAGAAAAGTATGAAGTAGTCCGCAACACCAACTTCAGCTCCCCAGCTGGAGAGGAACCTAACTCCACAAGCACAAGGGAAGTCCAGATAATGCTGATAGCCCACAAACCACCAGTCCTGGTCACAGGAAAACTTACATAGTGTAAGCTGGAAACTCACTGTAGGGATTTGGTCTGAATGTGACTCCTGCTGGCAGGTTACGTTTGGCGAATAAAATGCACAACGGTGCTTGTCATATCTTCCTGTGCTATAACTAGGAGCCATCTGGAGAGGGGGCTTATTTGAAACTAAGCTGCACTGGAGATCCTATGTCACAGAATGCCTCAATTTAGGGTCACTAGGGGCACCCTGCCACAGCAATTAGGTGTGAGGCAGCCACGAGGGACAGTCATGGAGAAGGGAAGGTTTGGTTGAAGATCTGCTGAGAACTGTAAGCAGTGTGGAGTCTGGGCTGTAGAGGCTGTGCTGAGGTGGTGAGGAAGGAGACTCATCAGGTGTGGTTTTCTGAGGGCCTGGGTCTGAAAGCCCACTCACTGGATTTCTGGGCTCCTGCAGTTGCCCCTCTCCAGCACAGAACTCAGAGTCTGTTTCCTTCTCTCTCCGATGCATTCAGGAACATAACTATGCTTGGCCATTTGCCATGCCCTCACCTGTACAGGAGGGCATTCTCTGGAATGAGTGCAGCATGTATCCAGCTCACGTGCTAGGAAGCTGTCTGGGGTTAGCATGGTTATGAGTGTGCAGAAAGGGGGTGGAGATTTAACTCAGTGGCACTGTGCCTGCCTTACAAATGCAAGGTCCTGAATTCAATCCCCAGTACAAAAAGAAAAGTAGGTTTGGTTTAAAGCCAATTAAAAATGAATGTGTAGAAGGAACCAAACCAAAAGCCTCTGGAGTGAATGTAGTACTGAGGCAGATGACACCATTAACTGGCCCAGACTCAGTGGGGAAAGTGGAACAAGGCCAAACCTACAGATAGCAGCAACATATTGGTGAAAACAAAGAGGAAGTACAACAGGCCCAAGAGCAACTCAATATAACCCAAACAACACCATGGAGGAATTTTTTGGACTGTTGGACTATTAGTTCCTCTCTCCCTCCCCCCCGCTGTTTCTTCTCTACATTTATTTATTTATTTATTGTACTGTACTGGAGATTAAATCCAGGGCTTTTGCACTGAGATATATCACCAGCACCCATGCCCCTTCTTTTTTGTTTGTTTTTTTGTAAGAGGTTCTCATTAAGTCACTGAGTTGTCCAGACTGGGATCAACCTTTTGATCTTCCTGCCTCAGCCTGCAGAGTGCTGGGATTACAGGTGGACACCATCACACCAAGATTATTTATTTATCTTTTAAATCTTTCTTCTTCAAGTTTTCTCTTTCTTTCACCCCTTTTTTAAATTCTTGGTTTATTGCTATTACTTTTAATTTTATTAAGTTTTAACCTTTTAGTTTACTATGATTATTTTTCTTCCTTTCTTTTCCATTGTTATTGATGATGTAGTTGTTGGTTTTAATTGGTTTTTACTCAATTTTTATATCTGAATTGTCTTGCTGTGGTATTACTGATGTTTGTTTTCTCCTCTCTGAGTGGCACTGGGGATCAAGTCCTCAAAAGAAGGCTGCTCACTAGAAAGACCCTCACATAGAAGTGGAAGAGATACTCCTCCCAACAGAGGCACACCTCTCAACACAGAAACACAATAAATGTGAAAATCAAGGCAATGTGTTTCACTCAAATGTCCATAACTCTTCAGTACCTGCATCTAAAGATACTGAAGTAACTTAAATGCTAGACAAAGAGTTCAATCAATTTAAAATGTGATCAATGACTTCAAAAAGGAAACAATTAAAGCTGAATGAATTAAGACAGACAAAACAAGATATGAAATAACATTTAAATAAAAAGCAAGAGATTCTGAAAAAGAACCAAACAGAATTAAAATATATAATAGCAAAATTTGATAATGAGTAATTAATATAATATATTAAAAGTGATTCAATTTAGTATTAAACAAACTGAATAAGTCAAATAAAAAGCTCAGTAGAAAGCCTTACCAATATACTAAGTAGAGATGATGATAGCATGTTATGCCTGCTGTGCCAAGCAAGCCAGTAGATCACCAAACACTGGGACAAACGACAAAGTTAAAACTGAAAGGAGTTTATTCACTCGCATGGACTCCACTCCCTAAGCGAAGTGAAGCCCTGAGTCCAGGAACAGCACGGTTTTCATAGGGTGTTATAACAGCATAGCTTTTATAGGTGCTATTTAAAGAAGAGAAGTTCAAGGGGAGGTTAACATAGTTGCTCACCACTCAGCTATCTTATCTTGTTGCCTTGTCAGATTAGGATGTTTTGTGGTTAAAAGGAGGCACCAAGCACCAACCATTTCTGAGAAGTGATGAAGTCAGTTTACAGAAGCAGAACGAGCAGTTACAAAAAATCTACTTTATAAGGGGAGGGGTATGAGGGGAGTTCATCTACAGGCCAAGATGGTGTTTCTTAGGTTCATCTTGGTCTCACAATGCCTTAAAGATAAATTTGATGAATTATTACATTCAGATGGTAATAAAGAAAAAAATAAAAATTACAAACAAAACATTCAAGAGTCTTGGACACAATTAAAAGCACAAAGTAATGAAATTTTAGTGTAGAAAAGGGAATCAAGATACAGACTAAAGCCACAGAAAAATTATCTAATGAAATAATAATGGAAAATTTCCCAAATCTGAGGAAAGATATAGACATCCAGGTAAAGAAGGCTTTTATAAACTCAAATAGATGACCAGAAGGGAACCTCCATACATCATACCAAGAGTACAGAATAAAGAAAGAATCTTGAAATATGCAAGAGAGAAACATCATAAAAGCAAACATATCAAAATAATGCAGATTCCTTGGCAGAAATTATAAAGAACAAGGGGCACCGAGTGATGATGTTCAAGTTCTGAAAGGAAATAACTGCCACTGTAGATTACTACAGACAGCAAAAGCAATTCTGCAGAATTGAAGGAGAAATAAAATCTTCCAAGATAGGCATAAGCTAATGGGATTCATGACCACTAAGCCAATATTACAGAAGACACTTGAAGAAAACTACAGAAAGAAAATGAAAACAAACAAAACCATGAGAAACAATAAATCTTACTAGAAGAGTAGATAATCAATTGAGAATTAGGAAAGGCTAAAACTTAGAAAAATAACAAAATGACAGAAATTATTACATACCTGTCATTGGCAAATCTGAGCATAAATGGTCTTAGTTATCAAATTAAAATACACAGATTGTTGGATCAAACTTAAAAATAATACCTAACTGTTCTGTGCCTGCAAGAAAACACACCTCATTGGTAAAGACATACACAGATTGAAAGTCAAAGAATGGGAAAGTACCTTCTAAGCAAGCAAGAGTAATTATATTAATATCTGAGAAAATAGACTTCAAGCTAAAATTAGTTGAAAACACAAAAATCACTTAATATTGATAAAAGGAACTAAGAAGATATAACTATTATAAATATATATGCACAAATATTGGTGCATTCAATTTTTTTTTTTTGGTACCAGGGATCGAACTCAGGTCCTTGCACTTGCGCAGGGTGCATTCAATTTTATAAAACAAATACTAATGAACATGGAAGGGCAGATAGACTCCAATACCATAATAGTGGGTGATATTGGAACCCCCTCTTATCACTAGATTGGTCATCTCAAAATATCAACAAAGAAATATGAATTAAACTACACTCTGGAGCAAATGAACTTAACAGACATCTACAGAATATTGAATCCACAACTGCAGAATAATCTTTTTTTCAGCAGTTCACGAAATTTTCTCCAAAATAGATCATATTTTAGGTCATAAAGCAAGTCTTAACAAATGTACAAATGAAAAGTTTTTTGCATCTTATCAAATAATAATTGAATAAAACTAGAAATCAATAGTAAGAAAAACTACAGAATATAGGCAAACATGAAGATTGAGCAATACACTGAACAATCAGTAGATCATTGAAAAAACTGGGAAAATTACACAATTCCTATAATCAAGTGTAAATGAAAAGAAAACATACCAGAATTTCTGAGATACAATGAAGGCAGTTCTAAGGAGAGGTTTATAGCTAAGCATGCTGACCTTAAAAAATCATTTCTCGCAAACTACAATGTGGGAAAAAAATTTTAGCAGCTGTTCCTCAGACAAAGGACTACTATCTAGAATATATAAAGAATTGAAAAAAATCAGACCCCCCAAATTTAAAGACCCAACCCAAAAATGGGCATCTGAAATGAACAGACATTTCTCAGACAAAGAAGTAAAAGCAGCAAATAAACATGAAAAAATATTCAACATCACTGGTCATTCAAGAGATGCAGATGAAAACAACATTGAGATTCCACTTCACCCCAGAAAGAATGGCTGCTATCAAGAAATCAACCAATAACAAATGCTGGTGGGGTTGTGGGGAGAAAGGAACCTTTCTCCATTGTTTGTTGGAGTGCATACTGGTGCAAACACTTTGGAAATCAACACGGAGATACTTTAAAAAACTAGGATTAGAGGTCCCATTTGACTCAGCTACTCCTCTGCTGGGTATCTTCCCAAATGAATTAAAAGAATCATACAACAGTGGTATCTATGCACCCATGTTCATATCAGCACAGTGTGTAATAGCCAAAACTTGGAAACACCCCAATTGCTCATCAACTGGAGATTGGATAAAGAAGATGTGGGGTTTTTTTTTTATAAAATGGAGTACTACTCAGCCATAAAGAATGAGAAACTAGAGATATTTCTAGCTAAATGGATGCACATTGAGACCATACCCTTAAGTGAAATAAATAGGACACACGTGTAAATACTGAATAGTTTCTCTGGTGTGAAAAACTAAAAGTGTAAATAAGGATGAAAATATAAAATTCATAATGTGAAATAGGAAGAAAAGGTCTAAAGGAGTAGGGGAAGTGAATGGGTAGGGGAAAGGAAAGAAGGGAAAAGAAAAAATATGAGAAAAGGAAAAAATGGAAACAAAGTCTTTGTAAATAGGGAAGGGTGACGGCATGGGGATGGGGAAAAAATAAGAACCAAGATATATCGTGTACAGGTACAAGATCCCAATGATGAATGTAACTGTGTTGCATACCTAAAATGTACCAATAAACTTAATGGAAAAAATAAATAAAGATGAGTTTACCAACTGAAAAAAAAATCATTTCTCAAATAAATAACCTACTAATGGATCTAAAGGTCTTAGAAAATAGAGAACAAGCCACGTCCCCAACCAATAGGATAAATAATAAATATTAGAACCAAAATGAATGAAATAGAGACTAAAAGAATAATGCTAAGGATCAATGAAAGAAAGAGTTGGCTCTTTGAAAAGATAACAAGATTTATAAGCCCTTAGTTAAACTAATCAAAACAAAGGCATCTCTAAAAAATGAAATTAGACATGAAAAGGAGGATATTACAACAGATACCACTGAAATCCAGAGGGTCATTAGAGACTAACTTGAAAACTCATATGACAATAAATTGGAAAACCTAGAAGAAATAGATAAATTTTTAGACATCTATGACATACCAAAATAGAACCAATAAAATATAAAAGTTAAATTAATTAATAACAAGCAATGAGATTGAAGCAGTAATGAAAACTTTCCCAACAAAGAAAACCCCAGGTTCATACATATTCACTGTTGACTTTTATTATATCTTGTTAAGAATGAACACCATTGCTCTTCAAATTATTTAATAGAAAGGGAAGGAAACTTTCAAACTTATTCCATGAAGACAGTACGACCCCAAAATAAAAACAAGATAAGGATACACACATGCACACTCACACACACACACACAAATATAGACCAATGTCTATAATGAACACAGGGGCAAAAAATCTTCAATAAAATATTTATAAATCAAATGCAACAACACATTAAAAAGATCATACATCATGATTAAGTTGATTTCATTTCAGGAGTGTAAGGAGGATTCAGTGTATGCAAGTCAGTATACACAACACAATACATAAATTGAAATAGAATCAAAGATGAAAATTACATGATCATCTGAATGGATGCAATTCCCATTTTCAAAAATGCTTTCAGCAAAGTCCAGCATCCCTTTATGATAAAAGTCCTAAACAAACTAGATAAAGAAGGATTTTACCTCAACATAATAAACTCTATACATGACAAACCTATATCCAATGTCAAGCTGAATCAGGAAAAACTAAAAGCACTTCCTCTAAAATTAGATATGAGACAAGAATGTTTGCTCTTACCACTCATCCAATATAGTACTTGAAATTTTAGCCGGAGCAATTAGTCAAAATAAAAAGAAACAAAAAATGAGAAAAGAAGTCAAATCATCTCTCTTTGCAGATGATATGCTCATTTCCTTAGAAGACCCTAAAGACTCTACCAGAAGACTTTAGATTTCATAAATTCAAAATACAGGCTACAAAATCAACATTAAAACATCAATGGCTTTTCTGCAAAACCAATAAGTAACCCATTGAGAATGAAATCAGCAAAATAACTCCTAAGTTTGAAAAAATGCATAGGAATAAAATTAACCGGGAAGTGAAAGACCTCTACAAGGAAAATTATAAAACAATGAACAAATAATTGAAGGAGACACTAAAGATGGAAAAACCTAACCTCTCATAACCCTAACCTCTCATATTCATGGATCAGCAGAATTAATATTATTAAAATGGCCAGATTAGTGAAAGAAATGTACAGATTTAATATAATCTCCATTAAAGTCATTTCCTAAAATTCATATGAAATCACAAAAGATCCCTAAAGCCAAAGCAATCCTGTGAGCAAAAGAAGCAATGCTGGCAGAATCACAATTCCCAATTTCAAAATATATTCTAGAGCCAAAATAACAAAAACAGCATGGTACTGGCATATAAACAGAAATGTACACCAATAGGATAGAAAAGAAAATCTACAAATAAACTTACACAGCTACGTCTAATTCTTGACAAAAGGTACTGCTGAATAAAAGTCAGCCTCTTTAGCAAATGGTACTGGAAAAACTGAATATCTACATGTAGAGGATTGAAATGACATCCCTATCTCTTACCCTGTTTAAAAACCCACTCCAAGTGGATCAAAGACTGAAATATAAGGGCTGAAACTTTGAAACTGCCAGAAGAAAACATAGAGG